GGGGGGGGGGGGCCGTCGGATGGCGTAAACAGTGGCCGGTTGGATTCTCGTTGGAATATTCTTGGTAAAGTGGAAGGAAGGTAGAAGGGCTTTGGGTAAGAATGTAAGGGGGGGGGAGAGAGAGAGAGAGAGAGGTACGGGGAGAGAATAGGAAAAAGGGCACGGACGCGCGAAGAAGCTTGTGGCGCAGGAAAGAGGATGTAAACAAAGTTGGTATGAAAGTCCACACACTCGAGACAAGGGGGTTCGCTGGGTAAACATCCTTTGCACGGTTCAGACTTCACGAAAGACCGAGGAGTCTCAGGTTGGCCGCGGGAGGATGGGATGAAACGCGGCGCCGAGGAAGGAGGAGCGAGAGGAAGATGGATGCCGTGAGATGAGATCAGAAGAGCGTAGTGAAGATATGCCCCGCGCTTCTATCCCTTAACGGACAGCACGGATCGCTTGGAAATTGGACCGCGTCGAAAGTACTAAGCCCATCCTCCTTTGCTTCTGGTCGACCCTCTCATCTTGGATCGTTCTGTCCTTCTCTCGTGGCCTATGACGTCGTCGATGCCGCAGGAAGAAAAAAGAAGTTTGAGCTTTGTCACTCCCCTCCATTAGACTACGACATACGTACCGTTTAGTCGTACAGAGGACCAGTCAGAAGCGTGTGCTTTGTGCGGGATATATTGAAATTGTTTAATAAAGTTTGTCACGGTCAAGCAAAAAGTTTCTGGATCGAAGAGAATTATCGGGGTACTCTGCAGTCGTATCAAAAAGTACCAACGTTTACCGTGCGGCGGACACGTGAAAAATATTTCTCATGAAAATCGGACCATGGAGCATAAAATCTCAGTCGGTATGCCCTTTCTATGCACTGTCGTATCCTTTGGGCGAGACGTGCAGCGCCGCTCGGCGGTTAACGGCGAAAGTTTAACACGGTCGAGGGCTCGAGCATCCTATTCGATATTTGCTACGATAAATAGCGCGATTCCCGGCAGTTTATCAGCTTTAAGACTCCGTGGTGGGCTTTGAGCGTGTACTTTAAACGTCCCCGAGAAGCCAATAAATAAATAGGCAGTGGCGATAGTGCGGCAACGTTCCCGGGGATGATGGCGGTGATCGTCGTGTAAGCGATCGTATAGAAAGGACGTATCCCCTTCCCAGTTGAGCTTGGCTGCTACTGCGAAGCTACTTCTTGGGATGACTCAATTTCGAGTGGTTCTCCCTCCTCCTCGCGCCGGTGAGTACTAAACACGACGGTAGTGCAATACTGTGTTAGGTGAATGTAGTCGCGCGAGAAATCCACTTACCCTAGTATACCAAGTACACCCTGTACATTCGGTACACAGAGATGAGTGGGGAGATGCACAGCGCTCCGGTTTTAGGCGATACCAAAAGCATGGCGCTAAATCTGTAACATCGACAGAGGCGATGATCACGAAATCCTACTCCCGGACTCGCCGCTACGATTTAGCGCCATGCTTTTGGTATCGCCTAAAACTGGAGCGTTGTGCATCTCCCCACTCATCTCTGCGGTACACCCAATAGATCGACCCTGTATACCGGCTGACTTCGTGCATTAGCTATACTGTCAGGATAGCTACTCTTCCCTGATGCATACCTAATGTCTCTAGTCGTATCCGAGCTATTTCAAGGAATAAACCTCGCTTAGCCATTGACAGCGTAAAGCCAGTAGCGCTACCTGTGCACTCTGTTATTTCTTTGCCGAAGGTAAGTGCTGACTTACTTGGGTATATCGTATATCGACGCTTTCGGTTTCCGATAACGCGCGTTCTTTGCGAATCGACGTAAACATGAAAATCTACGAGTAGGTCGGGTCGTTGGCTGTCCCTACCAATACACGCGCGTTATGTCGGGAGTGTCGAAAGTCACGGAGGATCCTGCGGCTGGCGTGTGGGTAGAAAAGGGAGACGATTAAAAGTGGATTAGTATGCGACGCAACGAGCTACCTCGTCGGCACGCCTGGAACTTTGATAGCCGTCCCCTTTTACTCGAGTGAAATTCATTCTCTACGCCAGGACAAAGTAACATCTACGTTCACGGAAGGGGGACGATGGCCCTTTATTCCTCTGAAATTCCCATGTGAACAACCTTTAGGATTGTTCACACTCGATCGGATCTATCTATACTTTGTGAATTTATAGGAGAGGAGATAATCGATCCTCCCTGTCAAATGTTCTTTTTCACTTTCCTCCCCCCTGCCTCCACCCTCTCCATCTCTCTCTCTCTTTCTCTCTCTCTGTCAGACACTCTGATTCCCTCTCTCACTCATTCTCATATATCATGATTCTCGTGACTCTCGCGGCACTCGCGAGTCCCCGTGTGTTTGTATGTAGCTGAAAGTATCGACTTTCGAGAGAGAAACGCGCCTTTAACCGCAAGTGGGTAGCAGATGTGGAGTATCAGGACTCGAGGCTGGCTCCCACGGCCTGGAAAAACGAAATAAGCTTTTGGTCCCGCCTCGCGTTCCCCTGTATTATGTATATGCTGGCCAACCGACGAGCGAGTGGAGGAGGGTATCCGGCCGATATTACACGTCAGCCGGTTCGCGATATCCTCCGTTTTTTTTCCTTTCGTATTCTTTTCATATTAAAAATTATTTCTTAGACGACACGCAAACGTCAACCGAACACAAAGGATACTTCGGATACTGGCCCATGGGGCTTTTAGTCCGCCCAATATTTCTGTGGCGTTCGTCACTACTCTTGTTAAACTTCGCCCCCCCCCCTCCCACCCTCCCTCCGCCCAACCCACTCCTGTCTCTTGTGTTTGACAGGCTCTATCATTATGCACAGAGTACTTGATACCTGAGAGCCTCACTAAAAACGTCTTTTCGTATATTTTAATTTTTCAGGAGCTGAGGACGTGTTCAGGTTCACGGGAAACGAGACGCACACGGATTACTTTCGGCTTGTGCTCAGAGACGGGAATTACCTCCTGGTCGGGGGCAGGTAAGTCTTCGACGCCGGTAGCCATTTTGGGCAAACGTAGCCCGATCCCAATTTATCGAAATAATAGCCATTCAGGAGAAAATCGCTTCAGCGAATCGTGAATTCTGTCCGATAATCGGGCTTTAATTTGGAATTCGTGGAGGCAAAATGGGCTTTGATATCGAGCCCATGATCCGGTTACACTGATTACTCGTTGGCTACATACCCCTCATAAACACACGTCGATAATTACCTTGTCCGCGCTATCTAGCAGCTGGATCTGCAAGAAAATCGACAACCGGCGCCGCCATCTAGCGGGAATCTCGCGTACTATAGAATCTGACCGAACTTTGTTCGAGTAGTTGCAAGAGTTGGCCACGCTCGTGTCACGGCGCCACTGTGTACACGAGCAAGAGCACGGAGTATTCAGAATTCGTATTTAAATGTTTAACCAATCTCCAACCGTTGAACCCCTAACCCCACGCTATTACCGTTTCACTGTATCCCTGATAGCCGCCCGACTAAATGCCATCGATCCTCTTACTCTCGTTCACGTGATATCGTACAGTAACTATACCTCTAGCCGTTGCACGATGATAAGCTTGCGCGCTCACGAGCAATGAATTACGAGCGAGTCTGACTATATCGATGCTGTTTCAGAAATCTGGTGCACAATCTGAGTCTTACGGATCTGACCGAGCAGCAACGTCTTACCTGGTACTCTCCCGAGACGGACGTGAAGATGTGCGTGATGAAGGGCAAGGACGAGGAGAACTGTCAAAATTATGTAAGGATTTTGGCGAAAACTGGTCCCAGCACGCTCCTCGTCTGCGCGACGAATGCCTTCAAACCTATGTGCCGTGACTACGTGGTTCAGCCTGGCAATTACTCCGTAGCCAAGGAAAGAACTGGTCAGGCCTTGTGCCCTTATGACCCTCAGCATAACAGTACCTTCGTCTATGTCGACGGCGAACTCTACACGGGGACCGTCGCTGATTTCTCGGGGATGGATCCCATCATATACAGAGGACCCTTGCAGACTGAGCAATACGACTCTATGAGTTTGAATGGTAGGTTTTTTCTCTGTCTCTTTTTCTCCTTTAAAAAGGGAGTATAAATATGATTCTGTATTTGGGGCTCTTTGCACGAGAGACTCTCGAGGTTATCAGTAACGGAGTCTATAGCTGTCTGGGATTTTTCGCTATTCGTTAGAGGTCCAGGGATCTTTAAAGAAAAGTCCGCGAAACGCCATAAGGACGTTGACGAAGATATTTACATTTCTTGATGAATGGAACGACGATAAGTAGCTTGTCGTTCGAGTTACGGGACGGTATCAGAATTCCAAGATGGCGAAGTGAACGTTTATTGGACAAATATTTTTTTCGATCGACGAACTTTGCCGTCACGTCTGCTCGATATATTTGTTCTAGAAGTAATTTTTTTCGATATTGACACGTGTTACTTTGATGTTTTACAGCCCCGAATTTCGTCAACTCCATGACCCAGGGTGACTTTGTCTACTTCTTCTTCAGAGAAACGGCCGTCGAGTATATCAATTGCGGCAAGGTACGTCGCTGGGTCCCACTGGACAACCCTTATCGATATCAGTACACCGGCTACGTAGGACTTGCGTGTACTCTTATATTTACTGACATGCTGAACTTTTAACCCTCAGGCTGTGTACTCGCGGGTCGCACGAGTTTGTAAATACGATCGCGGCGGACCCCATCGTTTTCGAACTCGTTGGACATCCTTTCTGAAGTCACGACTCAATTGCTCCGTTACCGGAGACTTTCCATTCTACTTCAACGAAATCCGTAAGTATGACTGACGAGGCTCTCAACTCGAAATGTCAATTGGAACGGATTTACCCGTTGTGCTTTTCTGATCTCGATTGGTTCTCTCTGTGTCTTTTTCTCTCTCTCCGTCTTTATCGCTCGGTCCTCTTTAACGAACCACCCTCCATGCTTGAGATTTTACTTGGATGTTTTCAGAATCCACAACGGAGCTGATTTCCGGCCAATACGGCACAGCCTCGGCTCAGCTGATTTACGGCACCTTCACTACGCCGGTAAACAGCATAAGCGGCTCTGCGGTCTGCGCCTTCTCGCTCCAGGATATCGCCGACACTTTTGAGGGCAACTTTAAAGAGCAAAGTGCTCTGAACTCTAATTGGCTGCCCGTCCAAAGTGCCAAAGTACCCGATCCAAGACCGGGCCAGTGTGTCAATGACTCCAGCACTCTGCCTGATCTTACGCTAGACTTTATAAAGACACATTCGCTAATGGACGAGTCCGTGCCGAGCTTCTTCGGACAGCCAATAGTCATCAGGACCAGCTTCCAGTGAGTTTAATTAACTTGGAGCCTGAAATTGAATATGTCGTAGCAGCTGCATGCAGTAGGAGTCATTGGATAGCTCGTGGAATGTGCATCCAGCGCATATACAGTGCATTCAGAAAGGCCATGCGATATATCTGTGTACGTAATTTTCCAGCTATCGATTCACCCAAATTGCCGTGGATCCGCAGGTCAAAACTCCTGGCGGAAAGACGTACGACGTCCTTTTTATAGGCACGGATAACGGAAAGGTTATAAAAGCCGTGAACGCCGAATCCGCGGATTCTCATCAACGTGTTAGTCCTGTTGTTATCGAGGAGATCCAGGCGTTCCCTGTGACTGTTCCTGTACGTGGAATTAAGGTGGTCCGTGCTACGCAAGCCGGAGATGGACTCGAGGATGGTCGTTTGGTCGTTATAGCTGACAGCCAGGTGCAGGCATTACGATTGCATCGGTGCTACAGCGACAGGATACTGTCCTGTGGAGAATGCGTCGCTCTGCAGGATCCTTACTGTGCCTGGGATAAGGTTGAGGGCAAGTGCAGAGCCTTGGTAGGACCTGCGGCAACAGACGCGAGCAGATTCCTTCAGAGTGTCGCGACGGGAATTCACTCTTCCTGTCCACCTAGCAAGACTCTAAATAAGGATGCTAGTAGCGTAGGCGCCATATCGGCCAATCAAAATAAGTTTCCTCAGGACTCTATACCCAACAAAGAGAGCCAGGGAGGTGAGATCATCAACATCATGCAGAACGAGGAACAGGATAATTCTGGTGAGACCCCTTGCTTTCTGTGGTACTTGAATATTTTTCAAATTACGAATCAAGTCAATTCAATTTTATGTACTTTTAGGTCCCGAAGTGTCTGCTGCGGATTCCCCGCCACCTCAGTACTCTGTGGAAACGTTGGTGATGGCAGTGGTAGCCGGTGCTCTGGCGGCACTTCTCGTTGGATTCATCGCAGGATATCTATGCGGCAGAAAATGCCGAAAGGACGAAGACGATAATCTACCCTATCCCGACACGGAGTACGAGTACTTCGAGCAAAGGCAAAACGTCAATAGGTACGAGCAGATCTAAGTCTATAATATTAATTCAGCAGTATTAAGAATCGCAAAGAATCCTTCATTCGTAGTAACTGCGTTCCTCGTAATTGAAAGTAGTCTGTCATTTCACAGTAGACTGGCTCCAGAACCGAAGCTTCTACCTCAGGAGGAAGTGACTTACGCCGAGCCAGTTCTTGTACCGCAACCACCAAAGCTACACTCTCCCAAGGGTACCATGAGGAAACCTCCACCGACGCCCGCGGAGACACTCTTCCAGTTTCCGGATGGTTACGGGTTCCGCGGTACCCGCGACAACTTCGGGACGCTGCGTTCGCACCAGGGCGACGCGTACCGACGCAACGATGGCTTCGCTACGACCCGAAGCGTGAAGAAGGTCTATCTCTGAGAAACGAGCGAGGAGGGGGGTGGCCGCCATAGAAGTTTAGGGCGGCCAACGAGAAATCGGCACAACGCGACGTCCTCGAGGAGTCGCGCAGTGACGGCCGGGGGACAGTCCACCAGGGAATTGGCAGGTCCGAGGGCCTTGGAATCGCCCTCGCCGCCTTCCAGTGTCTCTTCGAGTTCCCCTTCGCCCCCCTCCTCGTCACCATCGCCCACCCTCGTACCCTTAGCCATGGGAGGCTCGCCACCTCCTCCGACGCCACCCTGCAGCTTCATCTATCGCTCGTAGTTGCTCTTCTAGCGACTCTCCGACTTTGCGTGGCCCTTCGTCGACTCTTCCGATGCTCTCATCATCGAACGCCCAACTCTCCTCGGCCATCTCTGGCGTCCACCCAACCACCATGGCGCCGACTGGTCTCGCGTCTAGCGCGTCCTGACACTCTCGGTATAGTAACGACCTGGTGTCGCGCCGTGGCTGCCTAGAGAGAGCTTTTCTACGAGGCACCGTTGTGCCACGAGCTTGTAGTACTTCTTTCGCCTGCGTGGTGTCTCTCGCCACCGTGTTCTCTGGTGCTACGCTCGGATCCTTCACGATTCAAAGTGACTCGAGTCAGCTATTGGTGGTTGGACCTGACGATCGGAGAACATCAAGGAAGAGCCGCATGGCACGAGATCGAAGCGCCTGTCGGAAGGTTCACGCGTTGTTCCGTTCGTATATATACGTAAATAATAAGATTGGCATGCGATAGTGCGAGATAGAGAGAGAGCACGAGAGAGTTAAAAGAAAAAAAGAGAGAGAGAGAGAGAGAGTGAGTGAAGTTAATGCACGCAAGGTTGTTAAGGTCTTGTACATACTTAGCAGGCATATGTACACAGTGACCAGAACGTTTACATAATGAAGTAACGAAGTGGCAAGGGTAATATTTAAGAAGAGACGAGAGCGCGTTTCAATCGGTCAAGCGTTTTGAAGTTAATACCGTACGGAATCGAGTCGAGTAAGAAAAGAACAAAAAGAAGTTAAAGTAGTATCGTGGCTGAGGCTCGCGCGCGCGCGATTCACTGTAGAGTCGATGAGTCGGGCCCCGCGGACAAGCCGGTGTACGTCGTAGACATCTATCTTAAAGTGCTTCTTATTTCGGTGTGTTTAGAAGTAACGCGTATGTGATATATTCTATATGAAGAGACGGGAGAGAATACGGGAAGACGATGCACGACTGCGGCGCTGAGTTTTTCTTTGTTTTTTTTTTTTTTTTTTTTTTTTTTAGCGAGGG